AATCTCATTCTAATAAGAGTTAAAAGCGCATTCGGTTGTTAGGTTTACAGGGTTATTGAATTATGGTTAACGGTTGGTAGAATTGTTTTTAACATTATCTGCCAATTACATCTGCCACCCTTCTCCAAATCTGTGCCCCTACCTGGCCCCCCTAACAAAAATTTTCTAGACACGCCACTGGGAGCAGCTCGTGCTCAACCACTGTGGTCACAGCCTGGTCCCAGTGACAAGACAACCTGTCTGCTGGTCACCAACACTAGAGAAGCACCTATGGGAGAGGAAGTTTTTGATAACAAATTATAACTGCAAACGTACAAAGCTTGAAAATCAAGTCACCAGTTATGACATAACCCCTCCAAAGTAACTAAGGAAATTACCAACTGTTTTCAAGTACTATCTGTGATTTTTGTCTAAGCAAAAAAAGGTTACCCACACATTCTTGATAAACATTAGACAGTACAAGGATAAGTATATAAAATGTTAATAACTAAAGGTATATAGTGCCTCTAAGCTCTTTGGACATTAGTGTTCCTCTGGGAAACTTCGCCATCAAGCCTGAACCTGAATGCACCGCTGAGTCCACCAAAACCATTGGTGTCACAGTTTATGACTGTAGTAAATATGAGTGCCGTCCCCTTCAAACAGGTCGGCATCTGATCCTACAGCACGGTAAAAAAAGAAAAAGAGATTGTGTTTAACTGTATCATCAGCAGCACCAAGTATGCAACAGTTTTGATTTTGGAACCATTACGTGTTGAAACATATCTCACCTAAATTTAAGATAGGATTCTCATCTTCTCCATTCTCATACACCTCTGTAACGCAAACAGACTTGACTCAAAGTCTTTCCACATCTCTAAAGATTAAGAGCCTTTCAAGTATCATCTTTGCACATACCGTGTACTTCAGGGGAAACTGGTATCTGCAAAACACACACACACACCAAGACGTGCGGGTAAACATTCAGTCTCTTCTTTTAAGTCTCCCTAGAAATGCTGAATGGATACTTACAGTGTATGAAGTGTGAAGAACCACTAATCCCAACAATAACAGCACTCTCTCCATCATGATGCAGCATGTCTCCAAGTAAATGCTGCTTCTTTGGTTTACATATAATACGACCTTTGGAAGTGGAGTAGTTTTATGCCAGCTGTAAACAGTAACTGAGGGACTTTGACTCAAATTGTTACTGATTTGTGGGTGTTTTCACATGTGCATCAGCCTGAGGTGGCGTGAATATCTCCACACTTCCTGTCTTAGGCTATTTCCTGGGTATTATTAGATTCTCTGATGGCAACCCAGAATTCAGCGCAGCAATCGTTCAGGAGCACAAATGCTGATTTTTTTTTTTTATGTGATATATTCAAAGCATAAGACCCACTCTCCCTATGGTTTATTCTTCAGGTGTTTTCAAACGTGTAGGCAATTTGATAAAGTTGTGGGTTTTAAGTTAAAGTCTCGATTGTCTATATTTTCCTGTGGGTATTTAAAGTCAGACGTTTATTTTTTATGACCTAATCTAATCGCTAGATGGGGACAGATACCCAGTTTTTACCAGTACGGCGCTCGACACTACGGTACATGCTACGTAAAGCTATACGTAACCCCGGTGGTAGAGTGGACACTTTTTACGCTAAATCCACACAAAGAGGTGAAGGAGCTAGTTAAAACCTACAGTTCAATCCAACCCTGAAAACAGTCACGCTCTTATCTTTGCTGTTGGCGATGGTACACAGAATTTTCCATTGATCATATGGTCCTCATTTCCCTACGTTTGCACAGATGGACAGATAAAAGCAGCAGTGCTGCAACTTTTACGATGTTATCTGTGTCGTATTACAGAAACGCCCCCAAACGCAGCACAGACAACGGCATGTGTCAACACTCGGTACGTCACTGATTTAAACGCAGCTTTTAAAAAAGTGGCATATATCAATGTTTATCTAAAGGGTGGGCTTTTGCTATTCTCGCCTAATCCGCTCAGATGCCAAAAACAGTCTTGGACTTGGTTGAAATACAACGAGGAGACGGAGACGATACCGACATGTGTCCACACTACGCATTTTCCGTGTTTAGGTAGTTGTAGCCACTGTCTTTTGTGTTGTCATATTGCTAATGTCAGCAAGGTGGCTAACGGCAGTGTCACATTTAGCCTAACATGCTAAAACACGATGGTGTGAAACCTTAGAAAAATAGTGTTGCCCACTGTCGGTATTTTAAGTGGCAGCCATTGAATATTGATATTACTATGCGCATGTCCCGATTGTGTATTCAGACGAGGTGGCCGAGTGGTTAAGGCGATGGACTGCTAATCCATTGTGCTCTGCACGCGTGGGTTCGAATCCCATCCTCGTCGGAAACTTCTTATATTTAATGCGCGTATTAAATTTTGATATCACTTTTCATAATGTTTAAAAAGCAACAACGCTTAGTTTATGAGGATTCAACCATGCTTTAGCATCTATAATTTATAATTTAAAATTCACTTTATTCTGACAATTATATAAACAGTAATATTATTTAGTTGCTAAGCACTTTTTAAAAACAGTTACAAATTGCTTCACAGTTTGTTCTTCTAATATGTGTGTGGTTGACTCTGTTTGCATTTATAAATAGGTCCACGTATTTCTAGTGTCTTTTTTTATCCAAAGGGCCACAAATAATGGGGCAAAAGATAAGGTAAAGCCAACCTATAGAGAGAGCACCCCATAAGAACAAATCCGAAAACCAGCTGACCTGATAGGCTGAGGATACAGGTCATGGATACATACACACACATACATACACACACATTCCCTTCCCCCCCCCCCCACACACACACACACACGCACATGTGGGACTCATGTAATGGGTGGGCACAGATGGAAAGATGGAAGTATTGTAATAGATATTGCCCCCCCTCTCCATAATTTCATGCATTCTTATCATTGTTATGTTATGCGTTCAGTTCTTTATTACTATTTCTGACACATACTGTGATAACTGGCAATCCAGCTAGGATATTCTGATCAATGATGATTGTGGGAATCATCATTGATGGCGCTCACGCCGGCATTGAATCGGGCAGCTTTGGGGTCCTGTGTGTTCTACTGCACAGATAGCCTGCAGAGTGCAGCTACGCTGAACTGAAGTGCTTGTGTTTTGTATTTGCAGTTGCAAATGAGCAAGTAAAGAGAACGATTCTGAACTCATGCACGCCTGGAAGTGTCATTTGTCCAAGTGTGCAACACACACACACTTGAGAAGTAAAATTGAGCTGGGCACACATGAGCCAGGTGAGGGAACACTATCACACGGAGCCGTCTGTACCGGGAGTTGGTCACAGACCGCAGCCTCCAGGCCGGGCACACAGCTAGAGGGATGCAAAGAAGCCCCCCAGCCAGCCTGAGAAGACCCACAGAGCCACAGCAGCCATGGTCGATCACAACCCCGGTGCAGAGAGCCCCCTCCGAGATATGCCAGCCTCCTCCGGCAGGCTGTTCCACAGACGAGGACCATACCACTGAAAAGCTGCCTCTCCGTGAGTATGTGTCCTGACTTTAGGAACAATCAAAAGGCCAGTACCAGAGGACCTCAGAGTCCACGAGGGTTCATATGGTAGAAGCAGATTTGAAAGATAAGAAGGCCCGAGACCATTAAGACATTTAAAGACCAATAAAAGAACTTTAAAATCGATCCTGAAACACACGGGGAGCCAGTGCAGCGATTCTAAAACCGGTGTAATGTGGGCCCGCCCTCTGGTCTTTGTCAGCACACGGGCTGCAGAGTTTTGTAAAAGTTGTAAAGGTGAAATATTCTTTTTGGGGAGACCAGAGAGCAGGGCAGTAATCAATGCGACTGGTAATAAAAGCATGCATCAGCATCTCCGTGTTGGCCCGAGAGAGAATAGGGCGGACTCTGGCTATATTTTTTAGATGATAAAATCCAATTTTGGTTACATGTTTAACATGTGGGATAAAACCAAGCTCAGAGTCAAAAATAACACCCAGGTTTTTCACTTGTAGCGAAGGACATAGTGAAAATGCCTCTAATTTAGACAAGAGTTTCTCTCTCTGAGCCTCGGGACCGACGATTAAAACTTCAGTTTTGTCCTGGTTAAGCTGTAAAAAGTTTTCTGCCATCCAAGATCTTATATCTAAAATACAGTTAAAAAGGGCATCCATTGGTCTGGTGTCATCAGGAGACACGGAGATGTACAGCTGCGTGTCATCAGCGTAACTGTGGAAGTTCACTCCATGCCTCCTGATGACACCGCCGAGAGGGAGCATATACAAATTAAAAAGTACAGGGCCTAGAACCGACCCTTGAGGCACACCACATGTCATTTTATGGATCTTAGAGGAGCATGTATCCATACTCACCATAAAAGTTCTGTCAGAGAGATAGGAAGTGAACCAGTTATGTACAGCACCAGAGAGGCCCACCATGTGTTTCAGTCTGTTTAAAAGAATAGCGTGGTCTACTGTATCAAAGGCTGCGCTTAGATCCAGTAGCACCAGGACTGAGAGCTTTTGGGCGTCCCAGTTACATCTAAGATCATTTAAAACCTTTAGGAGAGCAGTCTCTGTGCTGTGGTTCACCCTAAATCCAGACTGGAATATCTCCAGGATCTGTCTATCATTGAGAAAATCAGTAATCTGAGTAAAAACAAGTTTTTCTAAGACTTTACTTAAAAATGGTAAGTTGGATACAGGTCTGTAGTTATTAAAATCATTACAATCCAAATTGCTCTTCTTCAGAAGGGGCCTCACCACCGCCGTTTTAAAGGCAGCAGGGAAGACACCCAACTGAAGAGAGCAATTCATCATGTATAAAAGCTCAGCCTCAAAAAATCCATAAAGTGTTTTAAAGAGTGAAGAAGGGATTGGATCTAAAAGACATGTGGTGGGTCTCACTGTGGAGAAAACTTTCTGAAGGTTCTCAGCATTAACCAGGACAAAGCTGTCCAGTGTCTCCTCAGGTACAATCGAGCCCTCAGATGTGTTTACAATCATATCGCGATTAGATAAAATATCAGATCTGATGGCGCTGATCTTTCCCCTGAAGTGGTCTGCAAACTGCTCACAGAGCGAGTCTGTGGGGGTTCTTTTGGAGCTTTTAAAATCAGGGTTAAATAAATGATCTATGGTGGAAAAGAGGACCTTGGGATTATTTTTGTTATTACTGATTATTTTGGCGAAGTATGAATTTCTTGACTTCCTTAATGTATTATTGTACATTTTAAGTTGCTCGCAAAATATTTGATGGTTGATAGTATTTTTATTTTTCCTCCATCTCCTTTCTGCTGCCCTGCAATTTCTTTTGAGTTTTTTGACTTCTTCGTTTCTCCAGGGTGATGCATGTTTTACGTTAATCTTTTTGGTGGTGAGTGGAGCAACGGAGTCAAGGCTTTTCTTCAGTTTGCTGTTGAAATGATTAAAAATCAAATCGCAGGGTGCAGGTAAAATCACAGGGGGGCATTCGTCTAAAACCCTGGTAAAATTTGCAGCCACTTCAGAGGTTAGATAGCGCCTCCTCACAGTTCGCACCGAGGTCTCCCGCTGAATAAAACCGGTGATGTTAAAAAACACACAGTAGTGGTCAGAGACAGCCAAGTCAACAACAGAGGACACGCTGGTGGACAGCCCATGGGTGATGACCAGGTCCAGAGTGTGTCCTCTGTTGTGAGTCGGCTGCGTGACGTGCTGGGTAAAATCCAAACAGTGAAGAATGTTTAAGAATTCTTTTGCTGCAGGGTCAGAAGGATTATCTATGTGCAGGTTAAAATCACCGGTTAAAATTATCATGTTATATTTTGAATGTATGTTTGTTAAAAATTCTGAGAATTCCTTGATAAAAGCAGCGCTGTCTTTAGGTGGTCTATAAACTGTGACAGATAAAACTGGAGGGCTGCTGAAAACAATAGCATGGAATTCAAAAGTGGTAAAATGATCAAATAAAATGTGTTTGGTGGTGAGTGTGTTGTTGGCTAAAGATGCAGTCCCACCACCTCTCTCACCACTTCTAATAGAAAAAGAGAAATTAAAATTTGGTGGGGAGGCCTCAGTGAGAACAACTGGTGCATCCGAGCCCAGCCATGTTTCAGTTAAAAATAAACAGTCAAGTTTATTATCTAAAATTAAATCATTAATAATAAAAGACTTGTTCACAGAGAGCGGACATTTAGAAGTGCCATACTGATCAAGACTGGTGGATATTTGACAGTAGAGTTCAATGGATGTTGACATTTTTGAAGAGGCCGGAGGTTATTAATGTTTTTGGAGTTATATGCTGTTAATAACATTTTTTTAAATTAAATCAAATCACATGCAGGCTAGTTCTTGATAGCAGTCTAGCTGTTGCTTTGTTGACCAACTGAAGATGGATTAAGGAGGAATAAGATGTAGAGAGTTACAATAATCAAGACAGGAGAAAATGAAAGTGTTTACTAGAGATTCGACCTTACTGGGAATCAAAGAAGGTCTGATTTTTGCATTATTTCTTAAGTAAAGGTAATAAGACTGGATGAGCTCAATCTCATCTTAATTTTTGGTCAAAAATAAGACAGTGATATTGTTGGCAAAGGGGCTGAAGTAAGAATCTCAGTTTTGCCAGGATTGGGAAGAATAAACGGTGAAAAAAGCTTGCACTGGTAGTTAGACACAGAAAATGTTTTAGTTTGTTTTGTTAGCTTTTTATTCTTCACGTTGTTGTAACATTCCATCCTGGGGACTTCACATTCTTTTGCTTTTCTTCTCTGAGATTCATTTCAAGTGCTCCTCGTCCGCTTGATAGCCCTTGTTGTGACATCCTTCTTTTCCAGCCATTTGTTTCTCATCAGAGCTCTCCTGGGGATTGGCAGGACAGCTTACATCTCCTGTGGCCCCGTAATGACTCCAATCAGACCTGGGAGAGAGTGTCACGGTCTCTGCCTGTCCCTTCTTGAGGTCATCTGAAGCTCGACTGTTTGTTGTCTGAAGAGGGTTAAACAGTGAACTTATTTTCCTTTTATAAGATAGACGATAGAGTAAGTTCTATTTTTTGCTTGAATGTTTGTGAACACATTACCTTGTGATCATGTTGATAACGATCTATGGCGTACTGGTATTTGGCTGCACTGAGTCCAAGAGCACCAGCCAATCTTTCCCCAAGGAAGTCACAGGCTGAATTTGGAAACAGAAAATGTGGAGACTCAGTGAAGCCTGCACAAAAAGCTAAAGTCAGGGCCTTCTCTACAGTCACTTGGCTTCTGTATTGATTATGTCACATGGCATACCCAGCAGTGAAAACCTCCCAACTAGAATGGCCACATTCTTGAACGATAGCCGAGTCTGAGAAGAAAAAAGACAGAAGCAATCACATGAACTGACTGTTGCTAAACATTCACCACAAGTCTCTCCCCCACCCCCCCAAACAGATACCCACCTTCTGTTTAGGTTCTTCAAAGGGAGTTTTGTTTGACGTCTCCACCTCTTCCTCCTCGCTGTCTTCAACTACAAGAGTTTCACCGCTGGAGAAGTGGATCACCTTCCTCTCTTTGGCCGAAGCAGGACCCTCAAAGTTTGTTTCAGTGGTGTTTGCTGATGTCTGACGCATCAGAAAACTTTTATTTATTCACAGCATATCATCTAAGTACTGTGTGTTATACTCACTGCATTTATAATACTATTACAAATTGCACCGGAGCGACAGAGTCATGGCAGACAACTGGATAAAGTTCATTTTGTGAATACAAACTAAGCTAACAGCTATGTTTGCTTCATTATCACGGCACTTACTTCCTGGTTGTTCATTCTTCGGGTTACATTAGTGTTTCTGTATTGCTCCAAAGGACAAGTATCCAGTCATTGTTCTGTGTCACTGCTGTCCCAGACATCCATCCATGCTGACTCTGCGTTGTGGAGAAAAACAACTACAGGATACAGGATCTGACTTGAAACCTGAGACGCCAAATACAGAAGTGCACAAACCTTATCAGAGGCAAGTCGCTCCAACACAATCAGTTTCACTCTTGAATTCAAGGGGCTGGGCTTGGGAGGCAGGTTTGGTGGCGTGTTGAATATCACAGCTTAGCCATGCTAAGCCACTCTGCTGTTAAAGTTAGATTTTCTTTCAGTAAAGTCTGACTGCACATACTGGCAATCACGCCATTCTTAGATAACCAGGTTAGCCTTACTAGCTCAGACAAGCAGCAGAGAAATGACAGAGCACAAATTCTATACCAGATTATCTGGTAGCACCAGACTGTAGGGTTATTAGAGTATAGGGCAGTGGTGTCAAACTCAAATACACAGTGGGCCAAAATTTCAAACTGGAACAAAGTCGTGGGCTAACATTAATATTTATTGAAAAAAATCTTCCTCCAGATATATAATAAGGAACCTTTTCTTATAGACTCAAACAAGTTTTGCTGAAAAACTGAATATGGGACAAGCTTTGCTTGTTCCATATTCAGTTTAAACGATATATAACTTATATAAAAGTATATATAACTTAATATTGCACACATGCAAAATTGAAATTCCAATTAAATAACATATCAGTGAAATTTTTTCTCTTAAATAAAAATTGTATTTTCAGCCTTCTGAATTAAATTTTAACAGTAAACCTTTTCCCCAGGCTAATAATAAATATAAAAATAACAATAATAAACCACTTATCTAATAAAAATATCATTGAACGTGAAACCATTCAAGCCCATGTCTGGGAGTAGCAAGAAAAAGTGCACAAACAAAAATGCTAATTATAGCTCAGTTTGCTACACACTGATCTGATGTGTCCAAGCCAGATACCTGGCATCTCTTCTTGGATGCTAGTTCCTCAATGTCTAGGCTCAGGCTCTGAGCTGAGGAAATCCTCAGGATTGAGTGAAGGTGTTCATCGGTTAGACGTCTCCCGTGAGATGTTTTGGCCATCTTCATTGAGGAGAATAGTTGGTCACATAGGTAAATGCTGTCGAACATGGAGAGCATCTGAGCAGCGTGGGTGCGGAGCCCAGGCATTGTGTCAGGGATGAAATGTGGAAATTGTGAAGTGCCCACAGCATCATACTTTGACTTCAGCGTGTCACTACACTGGAGTTCAATCAGCTCCATTTGGAGGTTTGTTGGTGCGTTTGCAACGTCAACTGCAAAAGGATTACTGAGCAGTTCAAATCGACATTTCTGGGCATCAAAGTTGGCAAATCGCCGGGTAAACTCAGCACTGAGTACACAGAGTTTTTCAGCAAACTGTGCACATGGGAACACAGCAGTAGAGATCTGTTCATTGGTTGGCAGCAGGGAAAATGGCCCAGGTTTCCTTGTAGCATCTGATTCTGCCACAGGCACAATTTAGTTTTAAAAGCCCTCACTGCAGCATACATGTCTGTGATGATACGCCCCCGCCCCTGAAGCTTCGAGATCGCTCATGATCTCACACATAAAGGCATTGCCACAAAGTGATTCTTGATGTATGATGCAGTTATAAACAGTTAGCTCACCTGCACAGTTCTCCGCTCGCATCTGCACCATCTGTCGTTAACCCCACAAGTTTTTCCTATGGCAGCTTCATTTCAGTTGGACATTTGGAAACCTCATCAAATATTTCCTTCCCTGTGGTTGTGCCATGCATTGATTTTAATCCTAAAAGTTCCTCCGTAACACAGAGATTTGAGTCCACACCACGGATGAAGACTGAAAGCTGGGCAGTATCAGAGGCATCACTGCTCTTATCAACAGAGATGGAGAATGCAACACAATTGTTTTCCTTCTCCATTAGCTGGTTATATAGATTGGTGGCAACTTCAGGTGTGTGATCAGCTACTGTGTTTCTGCTCAGGCTGACATTTGAAAATGCTTGCTTTTTCTCTGGGCACACAACGTCGCAAACTTTCATCATACACCTTTTTTAAAGATCCAAACGGGACAGGCAAAAAAAAGAAAAAAAAGAAAGGACACACCCGACCCATCCTTCAAATTCGGGGAAAAGGAGGACACATTTGTCGGCTGCATTCGGAGGAGTCTACGACAGCCTTCGGCGCGTCGCTGTGACGTAATCGGCCTACAAATGCATCCTCAGGAGGATGCAGCCCATGAATTTGGACACGACCAGGGTGTTAATGGGTCCTGTCGTGACTGATGCGCCAGAACACCAACAGAGTATTCTGGGATTTGTAGTATTAGCAGGAAATGCACTGTATAATACCAGCAGGCCAGCTCTAATAGTAATTTGGTATGGCTTTGCGGTCCAAATGTAATTAGGCTGCAGGCTAAATTTGGCCCGGGGGCCAGAGTTTGACACCTATGGTACAGGGTATTATAGGTTTGTATTATTGTAGGGTCTTTACCTTACATTATAAAAATTATGCCTTCCAAACCTTAGCGCCAAAACAGTTTCTCTCTCTCGCTCCGCACCCGTAGGTCTATGGCGTCTTTTTTTTTAAAAACAGTTGAAAACTGGACAGCTTACATCTATTCATCTGGTGTTGGCCAGAGGGGCCGATGGCGCGATATGGCAGCCTCGCTTCTGTCAGTCTGCCCCAGGGCAGCTGTGGCTACAACCGTAGCTTGCCT